GTGTGTGTGTGTGTGTTTAATTCAATAGACTAAATAAATGATAATAATATTTAATGGTTTAATCTTACAGAATTTGTACTTCGAAAAGAAACTGATCAAGAAATGGGCAGTCTACTCTTTTCGAGTTATACCTCAAAACGAATGTCACTGTTTTCACCCCCTCGTACATCATATAAAACGGTATTATCGCATGAATAGCTGGATAGGATGACTCATCTATTTTACACGATTTTATCAACATAGGAAAATAATATAAGTCTTTTTCTGAGCAGTCTTGAAGTTCAGTGTATATATACAGTGTTAACTTGACTTTACAAAAATCGAAACATAAAACACTCACAAAAAATGATGGATTTGTGATAAAAAATTGTCGTTTCAACTTCTGGCGGTCTTTTGTCGCTTGAGAATCGGGAAGTTTTCCGTCATTCGAATACAGATCGTTAATAGATATTTTGTCAATTGACACAGATCATAAACGACAGATCAAACTTGATAACCAGGCGTTGTAGAGGTGAGCCATATGGTCGGTGTCCTTTTCGATGAATGCCAGTCAAATACATTTGATGATCTTATAAAAAATAGAAATCACGGGGAATATGTTCAATTTTTCAGTCGATAGTTCACATCTGTTCCATAGTTATATCTTTTGATAGTGAAAAAAATAAAAATGTCTCTCAAATTTACGCTTCATCAATAAATGTTTAATTAGTCATTTTCGCGAAAAGAAACACAACCATGTGGAGCAAACAAAGCAAATATATCATTACAGTTGACCATGCCGATTTTAGCTAATTTAGAATAGTTTTCTCTATGGAAAAAATTAGTTTAAATCGATATTATTTTGTAATGTGCGAGAGTTATTAAAGATCACTTTTTGTTGACATGAGTAAGATCACTCAAGTCTCGCCACTAAACAAGCTGAAACTTTTGTGTCTTCAAACTCTGTCTTACTTTCACTTATTGCATTATCCACTACGGAAACAATCATTTAGTATGAAAAGATTTTTTTCATTTTGTTGGATACTTTGAAGTACACTGTATTTCTTTTTAATCATCGATGAATCGATCAATCGCTTCTCTTACTGCTGACAGTCATTTATTTCAATCAACATTGAAAACATCCGATTTAAGAAATTATGATTTTTTCTTTCGTAAATTACGTCGATCACAAAGAACGACACGTAAAAATGAAAAAGAGAGACATGCTCATTTGCTTCGAGAACAAACGGAAGCACTGGAAAAAGCATTTATTCTTGTTGATACGAATAAAGATGGCGAAATAATGGCGAATGAAATGGCGAGAGCAGTAAGAACATTTGGCTATAATTTAAGTGAGAGTGAAGCGTATGACATAATAGCAAGTGTTGATACTGATTCATCAGGCACAATTGATTTTAATGAATTTGTCAAAATGGTTCAAACTCGTTTGCCAACAAAACATAATGATGAAGCGTTAAATTTAGCATTTGATCTTATCGATATAAATCAAGATGGAAACATCGATGTTAATGAACTCAGGTGAGACTAAAAATTTTCATTTTTCAATAATATCTAATCTATAATTTATCGTTATTTTGTAGACAAATAATGGTTAAACTTGGTGAAAAAATGACTGATGATGATGTTGATGAAATGATACGTGAAGCAGATATGGATAAAAATTATTTAATTAATCGAGCAGAATTTTCACGAATTATCACCATGAAAGAATCAAATATGGATCTACAAGAAACATCATGAACGTCAAATGTTATTATTAACAAACAAAACGGTAGCAATGAAGATATCTGATAATAACAAACATTTGCTATAAAAGCTACATACAAACAATGTCGATTTAGACACTCTTACTATCTACAATGAAAATAAACATATTAAGTAGAATCTGGATATATCTACAAGAAAAGAATGATATTAAAAATAAATTTAAATGAATGTAATATACTTGTATAGCAACAAGACATGTAGAAACGTCTGTTAATATTTCTCTAGCTATATGATAAAAATCAACAACAACTGAGAATAACAAGTAAAATGACTATCAACAAGTAATGACTAAAATGACTCTCTAAAAAAAACTATATTACTCATTTTTCGTTATTTTCTTCACACTTCTGTTATATATTGCCACTCTTATCCGCTATAATTCATTTTCATTGTTGTATAGTTGACTATTTTTGCTTACACCATTCACTGTATTTCATTTCAAGCGAAGTCGTCGAAAACACATGATACTATTGGCGTGTGCCCTTTCACTCTTATATTCATTTATTCTTGCTAAAACTATATTTCATGGTATAACAATGGGAAGTAAGAGAGGTGAAACGTATTTCGATGGTAATTATAGTTAAAATGAGTTGACCATTAAATATATGGGGCATATCTATTGAAAATCTTCAGCTGAAAAATGGAACTTTATCACAAGTTTATTAACAGATTTTACAGTAGTTGGTAAATTACACATTATTTAAGCGCTATTGCAAGCAGAAAACGACTGATTTACCCATACTGGCTTATTTGGCGGATATTTGAGCTCAAACTATCACAGTATGTTGCCGCAGCATATTTAGGAAGATACTCGAGCTTTTTCGATCGTAGAATGCCTCCTTCAAAAGTTGTAAGCTTTTTCGTGAAATTCTGAACGACAACTGTGCAAAAAGTGCAATTTGTTTCGTTAAACGAAGGATAAACATGAAAATCTGGCTTGCTTTTAAAAATTTCTCTAAATTTGACCAATTTCATAACTGGTCGTATTCTGAGATTTTCCCTCACAAAAATTGTGTTATAAAACTCAAAAATGATAATTTCGTATGTAACTGATGAGCTCTATCCAACCGTGATAAAAAATTCATTTTGCTGCAGTTTTAGATGTCAGACACCTTGCCACAAAACGATTGTTAGTAAGAAACTGATTATAACTCACGTCATCACACTTCGATTAGGAGCTAGTGTGAACAATAATGGCACAACATCAGTAGATTAGAAGTTTTCATGATTGTTGCTTCTGTGATTACTGAGAAATTTGATTGATCCATGTTTTTTATACTCATCTTTTACTGTTTTCTTTTAAAAATTCATCTTTCTTTATAGCTCGCATACAAAAAAAAGCAAATAAACATATGAACAAACAAAAAAAGTAAAACAAATAACACGAACATGAAGGAGTGTCCCGACCAGCGACGGTGTGCGTGTGTGTTTCCAAAAATCCTGAAAATTTTTCTTGCTTTCTCTACGATTTTGGTGGTGACCCCCCCTTCAAAAAATCGTCGCTTCCCCCTCCCCCAATACTAACCGCTTCGAGACAGTCTTACAAACATGTAGAATGAATGACATATTGTCCCTCTCAGGGACAACTACGAAAAATAAATGACTCAAAAAGAATAGTCCACAATGACGTTGTTTTATATACAAAAATAGGAGAAGATATTGGTTTTCTTTAAGAAAAAACTAAATGGAAAAATATGCAGGAGACATTCTATTCATCGGGCGAAATCGCTGCTGTTTCTTGTTCACTTTTTTTGTAACTATTTTCACTGTCATCGTCTACGTTTTCGTCCTCGGCATCGTTGTTTGGTGGTTGGGATGGTTGGTCGTCATCATCTTCGGAATTTTTAACATCTTTAACGATTCTAAAAGCGATATACTTGCAAATTATATCTGGTGATAATAGTAAGGTAATGAGAAATTAGTAAATCAGATCACTCATTTGTGAGAACTAAAACAGTCATTTTCTGAAACTATAGCAAAAGAGGTGATCAAATACATCTTCTAATTTACTTTGACTTTTTTGATATATCACCGCCATTGTCCGACGTATCTGATCCACTTCGCGAATGAGAACGTTTTCGAATACCAACAGGTAATAGTGAATCATCCTGCGAACTATCACCAAACTAAACGAAACGCAACACAAAAACATAATAAGATAATAACATGACTAGAAAGAAAAATTTAGAAAATTCTGTTTTTTAACAGTACGACAAAGCATTTGGAGTTCAAGCTCCATACTCTGTACTCTCGACAATCTAAAACTTGTCCAACTATTTTACCTCTACATCTTTTAGTCTAAAAATTACATACAGAATCATTCAGATCGTTGTTCTTAGTTGTCCTTGTTTGTTGTTCTCTTTCATTCTTTTGATTTTCTTCTAATTGCAGTCGTTCGATGATTTGAATGCGAGTTTTTAACTCACTCTGAAATGCGATGCAATCATAGGGTGTGGCCTAAAAATACATAATGAAGACATTTTTTTAACGGCTAAAAAAACTTTCTTACTTTGATAACAAACACTTTTAAGATATTTTCATCTTGTGCTCCAAATCTCACACTTCTATCTGTCGCTCTTTCAACAGTCATTTTATAGATGATGGGTGAGTTTAATATAACACGAAATGATTTATCTAAACGCATTACTAAAAGAAAGAAACAAGGTGTCTTCTTTTTTTCATCTCCTTATACAATGTGAATACATACTTAGTCTCGAATGATATCTATTTGTTTGCTCGTCAAATCTATCATTAATTTTCAATATTCCGTATCCCCGTTCTGTAAACTGTTGTTTTTCACTGTTATACACAAACAGTTTTCCACCCATCTTCACAAATAAGAAAAATGTAGTTAGTACTATGAATTGAGTATGCTTTATTACTAATACCTGAAATTTTGTTATTTCATCCTCTTCACCGGTTGATGTATCACCTTGAATATTGATTAATCCACTCGATCTTTTTGACTCGTATTCAGCAGCGGATTCTACCAGAGATTGTGATGGCTTCGATTCACCATTGAGAACAACAGAAGATGAATGTTCTCTATCTATAAATAATAAATGATTTATGGAGAACAAAAACAGCCTAACGTGTAGATACATGCTAATGAGGACAAAAAAACAGTCACAGTCATAGAGTGTAAACTCGTACAAAAGTCTTCTTTCGAAATAGGTACTCTACTATGAAAAGAACGCAGTCAAACGCATAGACAGCTAATTGACACTAATAAAAGTTCTTTTTTGTATTTGGCTTACTTGAGTCAAATACCGAATTTTTTGTGCTATCAATATTATTATTTGCTGATGTTGGTTGATCAGTAGAGTGCGATGATGATTGTGATAATGATTTTGTTGTGATATCTGCAAAACTTGTTGGAATTGATTGTTGACCACCAAACAACGGTTTACTAAAATGAAACATAGAATAAAAATGTTATAACATTGAATCATTTTACAATAGGTATAAAAAATGATACACACTTTGCTCCCAGAGATGCTAATGACGATTGAAGTGGTGCAGACGCCGAAGAAAATCCCCCATTGACGGAAGTAAAATTTGTTGATAATTTTCCGAGAGCATTGGCAAATAGATTGTTACCACTACTTATTGCTGGTGTTTCTTTCAATGATAAATTTCCAAATGAACCACTACTACCAAAAGCACCTGGAGAAGATGGTGTACCATTAAATTGGCCAAACAAATGTGGAGTTGGAGATGACTTCTTTGAAATATCACTAAACATAACTAAACATGTACTGACGAATAACCCTTTTCCTTATATCATCCCTTAAGTGAATACATTTTAAATCATCTTACCCAAAAATCGTGTTATTAGCTATAATATTGTGACTATTATTCACTTTTGAAATCGAATTGTTTATTGACGAAGAAGAACCGGTATCAAATGTTGAGGAGTGAGTGGATGATGATTGTTTAGTATCTGAATTTGACGAATCTGAACGTAGACAAAAGAATTAACTATGACCATACTACAATCTAACAGAGACCGCAGTTGCTCTTACCCGCGTGAGACTTTTCCGACATCGTAATTAAGAAAAGGTATAATACGTTAGTGTCGCAGTTAAAATCTTAAAATAAGACAAAAAATGAAGAGATGTAGTCAAAAAATGACCGCATACTCACCCTAAATGAAAATTAGATGTTGTACTTTTAGTGAAGCCATTGTATAAGGTAGAAGAGTAAAAAAGAAAATAGAAAAAAATCTACAAAAACAATGAAGTAGAAATAAAGAATGTACGAAAGAAGTAAGCTACTAGCAGTTTCTGATCGCAATTATTAAAATCTGTCTCTTCTTTAAAAAACAGCGATGTTTTTTTTTCTCACGCGGTATGGAGTAGAAACTTAATCAGGTATAAGCTTTCATTTTATTAAACTGTTGCAAAAAATCTATTAGAATACTAAATTAGTTTTGTGAGAATGATCTTTAGAATAATTTAAGAACATGTTTAAAGCATTTCAGTTAAGGAAAAAATGAATAAATTATATATTACAAGAAATGTGTAGAGATCAGGATAGAATAACGCTGCATCCATCCTTAGCACGTCTAATACTTTAATTTATAATAGAGAAATCTATCAGACACGAAACGTCCCACAGGATCTTTTTTATAATAACGTAATGTTTTATATAGCTATAAAACATGCTTTTTCTTAAACTATGATATTACAACGCTATGGATTTATCTCTTTACAACGAACGCAATAGACAATAGACATAGCCCGTCGTGTTATAACACGTTGGAAAGTTATTTTTCAGGAATTTATGGCGTTGTAAGTGGATAAAAATATTCATTGCATTACAGCTCTATAAATTTATAGCATCAATGCGTTTCAATTTTTTATCTCGTTACAACTCAATTAGATTTGTCCACCGTCTTATAATACGCTAGATTCTAATGTATTATAACGCGTTTGAGCTTTCTACTTCAATATAATGCGTTATAATACCTTAGATGTTTTATCTAATTATAATGCCATAAATTTTGAAAAATCTTTTATAGCGTTATAACTCATTAGATAATGCATATTGTATTGTAATCAGTTAATATCTAATACATTACAATGTATTATTCTTTTCTATCTCATTGCAACGAGATAAGAAAATGAAACTCGGTGTAACACGACAGATATTAATGCGTTACAACGAGTTAGACAATATCCAAAACGAAAATACATGGTTTTCTCGTAAAGGACACATTTGCATAAAATTCTGAGACTGCCAATCGATTCCTCCCGAAAAGTTGGTCCGGGAAAAAGTATTTCAACTATATCAGACATATACGTTACTGATTTGAGACTTAGAACATAAACTCCCACAGCACACTTATTACCCCTGTCAGATATAGCGTTACAGCTCCTGAACAGTTAATATATTGTAATGTAATAAATTTATGTCGATGAAACGTGTAAAGAACTTCTATAGCCTTACAAATGAGTTAGAACATGCATAACGCGTTGCGATGCGTTACAGATTGCGTTATAATGCGATAGGAGTTTAGTAACGCCTTGTAACTATTAGCGCGTCAGTTGAATTTATTAACTAAGAGAGAGTTTAATCAAAAATCGGTTATTATAACAAACGTAAAAAGATCAGCAAAGCGTACATACACTGCGGAATTTAAAAATACGCTGTGTTTTACGCTTTACTGAGAAAAGCAGAGCGCACAGTGTATGCTTTGCTATCGTAAATAGCGATAGCATTGCTATCGCTGTTTATGCTTTGTTTCTAATAGAACTCTTGTTATATTTAAGAGAAAATAAGAAAACTTTTTAACTAATGAGTTATTCTACTGTCTGAGGTAAGAGACTTTTCTTGTTACACAAGATCGGTGATGCTTTTCACTATTTGTAATTGTTACTTATGTCTTATATTTCAACTCTGTTACAAACACTGTACCTAATCCAGATCCTCTTTGTTTTTCTAAAGTTGTTCTGGTCGAAATACATCAGAACTAAACTTATGGCTGAACTTCAGTCCTAATATAACCTAATCATTCTATAAATATGCTTGTTTCCAGCTATTTTTGCCGGCTTATTGTATATACGTATTATACATATTTATTTCACACTTTTTTTTCTTTTACTAATCATTAGCCAAAGAAATCGACCATTCCTGTCATAGTCTTGTACCACATTGTCGTTTTCGCTTAGAATAAACAGTCTGAGAAATGCTAAACAAAATGATCAAATTCCACAACGTCTAAGAAAATTACTAATCCGATTATTGACCAAACTTCGGGAAGTGTAAAGTTTTCAGCGGATATCCCTTGGTAACGAGCTAAAAGTTCAAGATGGTGGACGCTCCACTATGGATTCTCTTTCCATCGCTAGGAAAATTTAAGATAAATAAGTTTTTCTCATTATGGTTTTGTGTGTTTTCCCATAAACTATGGCTAATAACGGTCGCCATCATTCTACATCCACAAACGAATTTAATCTGACCTTGACTGGAACATCACTTTCAGGTCATCATCAGCAACAAAATAATCAACAGTCGTCTCGTGCAACGACTCCAAAGCAAACGTCACGACCTGGAAGTGCGAGAAGTAGTTCGTATTTAGGTGGAGGAGAATCGACAAAACGTTCAACAACACCAGTATGTTGCTATGAAAGTATATTTCAATAAGAAACTAAATTAAATATATTTACCTTGTTCATTTTTAGCAGAGACAAGGAGTTGTTCATACCGTGTCGAGTGGACATATTTCATCAACCCCGCATAGAAGTACACAACAGGGTAAGGACGACAAACCATCGTTCTAGCAATACCGATCTTCTTCAGTTTTTGTACCCTTTCTGAACATTTTCTCTTTACTTTGTCAAAAAGATTTTTCATTTAAATGAGTGACTGAAATGCTTGTCCATTTCTGCTTTGCCAGCCATATAATACATTTTAATTCAAGTGAGACCCTTTTTTTAGCTCTTAGTTTATTTATTGTAGGAAAAGAAAATCGAACGACTGCTATTCGAGAAAGGCGCAACAGTGGCTCATATCGTCCAGCATGGTTCACCCAAGCTACTAGCGAGAATAACGATGACAGAACAAATCACAATCAAGACTTTGGAACTGAATTAAGACACGTATGTAAATAATAGGCTGCAACCTTCCCGAAAGTTGATAACAAAGTCATGGTTCGGTCTTTTCTTTCAAATTCTATTTATTTATTTATAGTCCTCATCTTCGAGTGCCTTTCGTACCATTCATAGCCCTCGTGATTCGGATAGAAGTCCTAATCCTCCATCCACTGGACGTATTCCAAACAATAATATACTCGATACTCAAAGTCTTCAACGATATTCCGATGATATTGATGCATTCTTTACGGATGATATGACCCCGAAAAGAACGAAAATGGAACAGACTCAATCTCAACCTCAAACACATAATGATATCGAATCATCGTGGGATGATACGAGGCGATGGATAGATGAAATAAATCAAATGCAACATTCACAATCGTTACCACAACAAAATGCCGAGCATCAATATCATCCAACAGACGACGATACATGTAAATTTCTCCCTTGCTAAGATAGTTTTTTCTGTTACATAGCTGTTGATAAGTGACCTCTTGTCGTTCTTAGATAAAACCAACGATCATAACGCTTCGACGATCCAATCTCAACGTCAGCCTTCACATATGAGTAGTCGCGGAGTTGGTCCATCAATGATGCATGATACATTAATGTCGCGTGATAGTTTAAGTTTAATGCAATCAAATTATAATCCGAGATCACAACAGCTGAAAGCCTCACAAATAGCAGGCGTCTCTCAGCAAACACCAATGGAATTAGATCTCCGAAAGAAAATGGCTACAGTTACTATTCAGAGGTGGTATAGGAAAGTTAAAATGAGAAGAAGAATGGCTGAAGCAGCCTTGAAAAGGTAAATAGATGAAACGATTTGCTTGTTTGAATAATAAACGTTTTTTTCTCAAAGGTTTTTGCTTCTTTTATCTACTTTTCAGAGTATTAGAACAGAAAAAACTAGAGCATCAAGCTAGTGCTGAACGAACGCGAGAATTAGAAAAATTTACGTTATTAGAACAGAAGCGAAATCGAGAAGAAAAAGCAAGGAATGCACGACTTGTCACGATTAAAGTATGTATTTGTTAATGTTTTCTTTTTGGTTCTTCATATTTTATTTAAAGGACACTCAACGTAAACGTGATCAATCAAAACAACAACAAGATGCCGATTTACATCGTGTCCGAACACCAACGTCATCGAATCGAGGCTCATATTCATCACGGACAGGAATAAAAAGAGCAGATAGTAATAGTAGAACTCCCCGGTTAAACAATGATAGAGTGCCGTCACCAATGCCACCGAAACAGGATAATGAACAACAGAATCAAACATCCTCAATAGGGTTTGAAGTGAGTACTATAAAAAGTATGACTTTTATTTCATCTTTATTTTCATATAGAAAGTAAACAAATCAATCTCCGGTGGTGATATAAGTGAGCATGTAACATTGACCAGTAGTACATCATCAGCTTCAAAAGTAACATTGAATGATGTTTATGAAACATTGAGAAAATTAGAACAAGTCGAACAATTTCCACTGCAACGAAATGAAAGTGGTAAGGTACCCAATATTGGTCATTCTGTGCATCTTATAGCCCATAACGACAATACGCAAAATGAGAAAAAGATGCCACTAATATCTGTTTCTTTCTAATTTAGCCTATCTAAATGACTCGACACTAGATGCTTCTGATACTCTAGCTGAGAATAATTCTCGTTCATCCAAACCCTTAGAATCTATTTTATCTTATCTTGATCAAGAAACACAAAAGACAAACGATATAACCATTGAATCTGTCAGATCTCAAAAGTCCACCAGTCGATTGCACGATCGACCCCCACAACCGATTCGAACAAGTACAGTTCAACTGGTGAATCAGCAACAACAAACAACAACGCAACAACAACGTGAAGATGGTCAACAGCTACAGCATCCACCTATCCCTTATAATGTCAGATTTGCCAATTCCGATCATACACTACAGCAACACTCAAACAGAAGTAAAGACAGTGGTAGACAAACGCCTACAAGTGTGAGAAATGCATCTGATAGAAAATTAGCGCAATCATTAGCAATGCCACATATGCAGCAGACAGATTCGCAAAGACAGTATCAGGTAGTAACCAAGAATTGGGCTGGTGTTATTGATAAATGTCTTATTAATATTTAGATATCTACTCCACATAAATCGTTAGCTATAAATCCTTCCAACACAATTCATGATGAGCATAATAACAACGAAGAATATTCTTCTCAACAACGTGACAGTGGCATTCTATATGATGATCAGAATATGGATAAAGACGATGATATTGACGATTATGCGACACGAACAACTCAAGATGTCACACAACAAATTTTAAAATTAAGAATGAATAATGAAGAAAAACAACGGACAGTATTTTTGCTACAACAACGATTGGTAAGTAGTCTTTGGACTATTGACACTAGTCTATACATGTACTGATAATTAAATTTCAATTTTTGTGTTTTTATCAAATTTTAGAATCAACAACGTGAATTAAATGTTCGTCATGCCAAAGAAGCTGATCGCGAAATGATGCATCGTTTACAGTTGCAAAAAGAAGAATATGAAAGTGCAATTAAAAGACATTTGACATTCATTGATCAAGTACGTAGTGTACTAAAAGAGTTTGTTTATGAACATCGATTCGGTTGTAGAATGGTAGATAAAGCCTTAAGAAACGTTTTCGAATTTACAAGAACAGTATTCCGAAAATTACTTGAAGACTTGAAAGTGATAAATATTAAAAAGTAAAAGCATTTGAAAGTATATCCGAACTGCCAAAAAATACTTGAAAATTACATTTATCTAATTTTAAAATTAACTTAGAAAAATGAACTAATTAAATTTTAAAATGCTTCATAATTGTGATGTCGGTATATTAGGTAGTAGATAATGAGACATTCAATACGAAATATACTTCCAAGAGTTTTTCCTTTTCACATTAATCACTTTCAGGTCCTTAAAATTTCGTTTCAATGTTTTTTCTCGTGAAATTGATGATGTAGAAAATGTTTCTAAACTTTATTTTACCACTATACTTTAAAAATAACCTGCACAGTGGAGACAATTAACAAATGTCTTACATCGTTTTAGTTGATTGATGACAAGAAAAAGTTGAGTGAACGTTGTGAAAAAGTCGTCAATGAAATTAAACTTATTGATAAAAAATATTCGGATAAAATTCGTCTACTTGAAGATAATCATCGAATAGAAATACAAAAATTAAAAGATGTTCATGAAGCAGCTGAGAAATTACGACGTGAGAGATGGATTGATGAAAAAACTAAAAAAATTAAAGAGTTAACTGTTCGTGGTTTGGAACCCGAAATACAAAAACTCATCTCAAAACATAAAGCTGAAATACAAAAAATAAAATCAATTAATGAAGCAGAATTATTACAATCGGATGAGAGAGCAGCACAACGGTAAGTGTGTCAAACAAAAAAATACAGTTATAGAAATATTAAAATTAAATATTTTAGATATGTGCGAATGACAGAAGAATTGCGAGATCAATTGGAACGTGAGAAAGAACAAGCCATAATGAGAGAACGAGATTCAGCGCGAGAGCGATATGAGAAAGCAATTCGAGATGAAGAAAAAGCATTTACGGAACAACGACGTCGATTATTTGCTGAAATTGAAGAGGAAAAAAATAGATTAGCTGAACAAGCAACAAAACAACGAAATGAATTAGACAAGTAGGCCCATTTTAAATTAGAAAATGAAGTCATTCACAAACTATACTATATATAAATATTTTTAGACTTCGAAAAGATGTTGAAGATAATCATCGTAATGCTGTTGATGCCATGAAGCGAGAATATGAAGCAGCCAGATTAGAGCAAGAAAGAAGACATCAGGTAGATGATAAACAGAAGAGTCTCTACAACAGGTACAAAATATTTTGTCTAATTTTTCTAAACATGATTTATTATCTAGGGTGAAATTCGTGAATTGAAAGAAAAATTAGAAATTGAGAAACAGAGTTGGGAAGAAAATTATATGAAAAAACAAGAGACAAATCTAGCTGGAAAAGAACGTGAATTACGCGACCAAATGAAACGTGAGAGAGACAAAGAAATCGAAAAAGTCATCTCACAGTTAGAAACAGATACAACAATGTCTAAAGAAGAAGCAGAAAGAGCGGCTGAAAATAGAGTCAAGTAGGTTGAACCGTGTAACAATAGTATTGGAGAAGTTATTGAGATATATTTATTGTTTTTGTTTTTAGACGAATCCGTGATAAATATGAGTCTGAATTACGTGAAGTTGAGTATTCCGAACGACAAACACAGGAAAGATATAATCAGTTGAAAGCACAATATACCGAAGTCGAAGGTAACTCCTGTTAGATTCGTTTGACTAGAATTCACCTTCTCTAAAGTATTTCATCATAAGTTTACCGTGGGTCTGATTGATATGCTGATATCATTGCTTGATTCGGAGTATGACGGCGGTGTGAAAAGCTCACTTTTGAGATAGAATTTTTTCTTTGAATAAAATGAAAAGATAAAATATACAAATATCGTACTCATGATGACTTTTTTTTATGGACAACTAACCTTTCTTATCATGTTACAGAATATTCTGTCTCCTAGCTCTTAAAAAGATCGTAAAACACAACTCCCAAACTCCCTGACCTAACTAAGACTGAAAATGTATCAAATATGTTTTTTGGAAGGTATTTACGGGAATAGGATTTTGGTGAAGCTAGAGACGTAAAAATTGACGATGTATCCACGTTTTTAGAAAATTACCATTTTCAGTGAAATAACTATTCATATGCCATCAATAACTTGTGGAGGTAGAATTTTGTTGATTATCTTAATTTTTCACTTTTGAAAAAATTCTAACGCAAAACTGAGTTTTTGGGATAACATCGTTAGACTCAGAATCAACCGAAAAACAATGATGCCAACATCTGTTTTCAAAATTATTTTTATGTAACATTTTTATCCAATTATGATCTTTCAATATTGTCGTTCTCACATCATATCTATGTGTTTTAAGGTGATAATGAACGTTTCAAAGTAATTGTAAAACAGAAAGATACAGAAATTAATGACATTCGAAAGGTACGTTGTATGTTTAACTTCTTTCACAAATTCTAATTACTATTATTTCTGTTATGCATAGATTACAGATACATTACAAAAGGAACGTGAACGTCTATCAGATATAATACGTCAAGAGTTTGCTGATCGTTTGGTTTTAACAGAAGATGAAAATAAACGTTTGAAAATTGAAATGGCCGAATTAAGATCTCGTCAACAAATCGATATAGATCGAAAAAAGGAAGAAATTGATACTTTACAACGGGAAAAAGATCAAGAATTAGAAAAAGTACACGAAAAGTACGTAAAGTATCTAACTAACTATTCTGACTTTAAAATATTTCATATAATTATTACTTAATAGTACAGTTTTTTATTGAAAATTAAATGATTTTGATTATTTTCTAGAATAAAACAAGCGATAACCAAAAAAGATGAACAAGTAACTCAATTAAGACAACAATTTGAATCGGCTGTTAAACGAGCTGATCATTTGGAAGGTTTACTTGAACAACAACGAAAATTAATTTCAACTCCAGCAACAGCTAATACAACAAATCAAAAAAAATCCTGATCTTAAAGGCACATTATTTTCTATTATTAATTTGTAAATGTTTGATACTTTTAACCTAACGCTATTTCTTTTTATTGTGGGAAATTGTTTTCTAATACATATATTTGTTCACTTTCTTCTGGGATACTTTTCTTGTTGTCTTAGATAACGGATCTCTGTTGTTCTTCTTTTGTTTTCAATAAGCTTTTGCATCGACTTCTTTTCTCATGTTTTTTGTAAAGTATGTGTGTGTGTTTATCTTTTAGAAAAAAAGAATTACTTGTTTGTGAGTTATTGTTGGTAACGATCATAAACTTATTAGGCTAAATGACAACTAAACCACTTCTGGCTCAGAAAAGGATTGATTCTATGAAATACGTCTACCAATTTTGTATAGTTCATGATAGTATGCAATAATGAAGTATTCATACTCTGATCATTTCTAATATATGGCGTAAAATAATGTAGGAATTCTATGGTAGAATCTTATTATAGGATATAGTACAGAATTTTAGAATTTTTAAAGTCCTTACGATAGGGTTCTGGATCTGGAAACTTGTACGACAAAAAAGAATGTACTGATTCTAGATGAATTTTTAAGATCATATTTTTGATTCGACTATTTTATAGCCAATTTCTTCTGAAAACTTTCTTTTTCTTTTCTGATTCTTTTATCTGATATCTCTCCAGACATTTTACTTAGTTTGGGTTTTTTATTCCCAGGTGATAGAATCGTACTATCCGATTGCACAAGATCGTATACGAATCGTACGAAATCATATACGATTATCTACGATTTACATACGAATCGTGGTGTCTGATTTGTCCTCTCATACGATTTCATACGAAATTGTATGATCGTATATGATCTACTACGATCGTATTATAACTAAGATTGTTTATTCACGAAAAGTGAGAGTCATCAAAGGTCACCGACCTTAGTAACAATGACTCAAGCCAAACAACACCGAAATAGTAATAAAAGAAATAACAAAATAAAGAAGACAACTAAGATTAGAACCCGAAGTAGTAAAATAAAACAAAAAAATTTTTAAAAAAAGAACAAGCATAAATGCTTAACTGACAAGCGTTTCACTGGAAGAGATACTGAAGTAAGGCTGTTTTGAAAGACATAAAAGAAGAAAGACAAATAACTGACTCTGGAAGATTATTTCAATCAGTAATAGTTGAATAAAAAAAAAAATACGATCCAGAGGACAAATCAGATAGGCCACGATTCATATATGATTTCATACGATTAGGTACGATTTTGTCTGATTCAGATACAATCGTATACGATTTGTTTGACCTGGGTCATAATCACCACTTGATCAACTTTTCTTCTCTGATTATAATATTTGATCATTAAATATTGACAAAAAATTGTAAGTGACTGTAATTCAACCTATGTCTATATAATTTTAAACGTATGAATAATCATGTAGCCACCCATCTGCATATCAGCAACATAATCGTATGAGCAATGATCTATACCATAAGAAAATCTAACATATTTAAACACATCTGTTTAAATAACTGTAAACACGTGGCTGTATGTGATAGTCACTTGTCTTTTTTGAACTAGGTGTCTTCTTTTTGAATGAAAGAAGAAACCATCGTCCTTCTATATTAGCACAAGGATGACTCATAAGATGACGAAATGGAAAAGAGTGATTCTCATTCTTTTTCATTTCACAATTGTTGCTAGAGGCCAGGTCTACTGGTTGAATTTTTATTCAACAAGAAGGGAGAAAGAAAGAAAAATAATATTATCATCAGCGTCCATTTTTGACAGCTGTTATTGGCAGGTAACTTCTAACTACATCTGATCGATCCATCCTGGATATTTCAAGTCGCCAAATTTCTTAAACTAGTATTGGATACGTTTTTTTATGTTAGAAGATAGAAATATAAAGAAAACAAACGCACGGAGCGATTCTAATGCGAATTTCCTTTCAGAATGGAGCATTGCACTTGACTTAAAGGTGAAATTTGTCCTGAAATATAAAGTAGAAAAGTATAATTCGTTTACTAATAGGTTTTGTTTAGTTTTAAGTTTAACTCAGGATCTACTTCTGTTGCACAGTTAGCTAGATGTAGATTTAAAAGGCAAAATTACCTTTACTCACAGTGAGAAACTATATTTGAGACTATTTTGAAATTTGTACCAATTACCGGCATGCAATTGTTATCAATGTCAGGGAAAAACTTCTGAATAATGAACTATTGTAGGACAAAAGATTTCTCACTTGCATCAAGAAACAATCAGGAACCATTTCTCAAATATATACAAAGATAATTTATTCCTGTTTTATTTTTCATTTTCTGGCTCAGAAAAAAAGAAATAAAGTGAAAGTCTCAATGGCAAAGTGGAATGCAAATGGAATATTTTAATTCTCTGCATAGTAATCAGAATGGATATCTATTTTACTCTCGATTGTTCTGGTTATCATTAGAAAGTTGAACGGATTTTTTCTGGTTATTTGTCTCTACTTAAATGCCTTATTCCCAAGGGGGAAACAGCTGATTTTGGGATTTTCGTCGGTTTTCACTGATTTCCGTCGATTTTTTTCGATTTCCTGTAATTTATTTGGGAAATTAAGTAAAGAGACTGCGATAAATAGTGCAGAACCTGCTTTGTTTGCACAAAACAGGAATCAGACATACTGAAAGTAACGAAAAAAAGATAAAATCATAAGCGATTTTTGATTTAAATCGATTTTTTAAGCTCAGAAATCACCTGTTTCCCCTTTGCTTATTTCATAGATCTGCATTATTGATGATGCATTATTTTAGACAGAACTCGTTATCTCAAAAAACTGACAAACATAAATATTAGGTATATGATAAGCATAAAATATTTATTCTTTTTGCTTAGATAATGATCCCTCATCGCAGTTCTTCGAGTCGTTCGTCGTCTCTATCCTCGCTCGATCGAGAACTGCTCTCATTTTCTCCGCCCAAGGGTCAACAATATTCGTCATCACCCATTCCAACTAATCGTCGTTCATCTCTATTTTCAATAATTCAACATAATTTAACACAAGATACTAAACTGTTAAGAGATCAAACAAATTCTGTAACTACACCCGTTTCAATTCAACAACAATACCGAATTGTTTCGAATCCATTCGACCCACCGACAAGTGTTCATCTCAAACAACGTTTGGCTAGTCCAAGCATATTTCAATTGGAAAATAATCAAAATCAGAATAGATATACGCTCAAAGTAAGTAATACGTTTTGTATTTAATTTAAAAAAAAAACTTCATTTACTAGAGATCAGTGCTTCTATAGAAAGTTCGTTCATTCCATATATACTTTAAGACGTATGCTCTTTGAATATGACGAACAGCGAGTAAAAGAAAAGATGCCATTTACACTGTGTCCTGTATGTTACCGATTTTATCTAAATGTTAATACCGCAATTTTTCTCTTTGATATTTAGTTTCATGTAAAAATACTCACTTTCTTTTGCTTTCAACTGACACTTTTTAATTTGTTCAGTGTTTTTTGTTCTCAAGGAAAATCGTCCATATGAATGGTCTGTTGAACGTCGTGCGGTGTTAAATCCTGTTAATTTAAGTGAACATATTTTACAAATTGATGCACATCTTTTGTAAGTAGTGTAGTGGTAGTAGACTAATAAAATAACATTACATCTGTTTTTAGTAATGAAAATTTACAAGAACGTTATCAGAAAGCAGCGGGTGAATTTTGTGAGAAATTACATCTACCTACACCTGCCGCCATACAACTTCAACAACAAACAAACAACGAACGAAATGGTAAAAACTAAACTCAGTTGACGCATAATCTATATATTTGTTTTTTTTCTATTCTAGGTTGGTACAATAGTCGATCGGGTGACATTTCCTTAACAGATGTTCGGTCAACAACATCATTACATAACCAACAACGCGACAGTATGTACACTCATTTTTCATTGCTTTTCTAGTTACCAAAACGTTTTTTTTTTTACATATTTAAATTTATTTCTTCTTTAACCATCAAAACCAGAGAAACTTGACCCGTTATCATTTAGAAAATATGGAAAAAGTAAACAATTTGTTTACGTCATCTATATAAAGTATGACCTTCAGTTCTTTTTCAACGTTAAGTACGAATAGTAACTTTACACTATAATTTATTTATGAAGGAAAGACGATTTTTTAATTGTTTTCTTTATGAATGTTTTAGTGGGGTGTCAAACACGTTTATCACTACCTCCTAAACTCGACATTGAATCAATAATACAAAGTTTTTGCTCATCAGATAATACGTCGCGTAATAATGATAGTACACGATCTTCCCAATTAAATGATTCTCAAATAAGACGCAAGTTATTTCTCGAAGACGATGAAATTGATAATGACGAACAGAAGTAAGACAGTCTTATTAATCCATTTTTCTAAAAATTTGGAAAGTTATGTGCTGTTCTAACAACAGCCAGTTGTAGTGTTCTATAGTGACCATTTCACATCAGAGTAAGTCTCACGAGGGAAGGTCCCCAACTGTCCGATCGCTTTCGAGCCGAAACTTAGTGGACTATAGGTAGTCGACCATGCTGATTCCGAATATCAACATGAGACGTGCTGCTAGGCCTCCAGAGAGTGATTTTCTGGAAAACCAGTTTTTCAGAAACTCTAAAAAATAACCAAAACCTTTCTTAATGATGCATGATTGTAGTCCCAAAATTTCTGATTAAAATGAGACCTCTCCCAGCTCTACATGACCTTTCTTTGCAAAGTTATA